TTTGCCAGTCGTATTTTGAATTCTATGTCTGTCATTTCAGATAATTCAGACTGGTTAAGAAACATTTCTGGGGAACCAGTAGGCTCATTTGGAGGTAAGCGAGCAGCCTGGTTTTTTATTGCCAGAATTCTTATGCTGATTCTTTCTCATCTGGGAGAGATGGTATTCTTTTAATTGAGGTGTAAGTTGAGTGTATTTCATTGGCTTTGTTTCTGAAAGTTTTTAGAGGACTAAGCTCTGTACATGGTCTTTGTTGTAGAATTCTTGCTCTTGGTTTTTGCAAGGGGAGGATTAATAAAGTGATTTTTGGTGTTGTAGTTTAGGCTACAATCTAGAAGATGGCACTTGAGAGCAACAGACAGTAGACAGGCTCCTACTCAGCCTTGTGGTTCCTTTGTGTATGTTAACATTTGCAGTTGTGTTCTGCAGTATGAGGGGGAGACAGGTGACCTCCTCATCAGGTCTGCTTGTGGACCTTGTGGGAGCCACATCCAATCACTGGCACTGTCCCTGCAATTTTATTGTTGTTGTTAGGTCTTTGGAGTCATAGGGCTTCCTTAGGGAGAAGTCTGGTATGGAAATAGCCCACACCCTTACTTGACCAATCCCCTTCCCCTGATAACATTCCAGTTTGGAAATAAGCCTTAGCATTCAGGCACCCCACATTGAGTTCATAACTTCCTTACTCTTCAGTGTCTGGGATTGCATCTTTTCTCCATCCACCTTTGGCAGTTTCTCTCTGAAGATTTGTTCAAATTATGTTGGTGTATTTGAAATTGTGGTCTGTTTCTGTGGGAGTGGCAATTTCTGGCTGTATCTAGTCCCAATCTATGTTTTAAAAGTATGGTAAGTTTTCAGTTTTCAGTACATGCTGAAACTGGGTGATTTTTAAAGAGCAGAAATTTACTTCTCATAGTTCTGGAGTCTCAGGAGTTCAAGATCAAGGCACTGACAGGTGTGATCTTGTGAGGACTGCTTTTGCTTCCAAGATGGTGCTTTGTTGCTGTCCTCATGTGGTGGGAGATGGAAGGGGAAAAGGGACACTTTTATGATGTTATTATTTTAATAGTCATATTTTTATTGTTTTATTTTAATTCAGTATTTTTTGTTTTGTTTTTGTATTTGCCTAGGAATAGTCTACATGAAAATTTTTTATCTGAAGTATACACAACACTTAGTCTAGGATCATATTATTAGAGAAGCACTCACATTTGAGGATGACAACAAAGACTTTTAATTGATAGAGATTCTTAATTTAGTTGTAAATTTCTCTGTAATTTAATTCTAAAATTCTTTTCTAAATGGTTTTAAATTTAGCCTATATGGTTTAGTGTATTGGAAGAAAAGCCTAATAAAATTACATCTTTATAGTATCCTGTAAGACATTATATTACATATTATTAATGCCACTTTTGAAGTGTAATTAGGATCTAATATCTGCCAATAGCAATTGCATGCATTCACCAAAATTTACTTGTTTGTGTATATAATTTGAGGGTTATTTTCAAAAATTATGTGGTTTGCAATGGATTATTTATTAGCACTTAAAAGTTTTCCATATGAAAAATAAGCCTTTGATAACCAAACAAGGGGGTGTGACCTCAATATCATATTTTTCCTAAAGCATTTATTCCAGAGTAAATATCAGGATACCCATTTGTAAGGAGACAAGGTGTATCTGAAACTATTTTCCTGTTAATTGCTCATTTTTATTGTTTTCATAATCCACATAAGATGCAAAATAACTATTTGTAAGCTTATTTCTTATTTCATAACAAATTTATTTGTAAAATTTGTTTAAGAGTAAATCTATTCAAAATATTGGAGAATCATTTGTTATACTTTGTCATGTTTACAGGTGATGCAATAGATTGTTAGATGTGGGAACAAAATAGTTACAAATGACAAGCACTCACAACAGAATAAAATTTTTATTGGCATCCTGAAGGTTTTAGTAAATGTATTCAAGATTTTCTGTGATTTAAAAGATTGTTAATTAAACTATAACTATAGAAATTATTCTACTTTTTCTAACTCTGTAGTAGATGCAGAATTCATGCAAGTGTACTTGATCCATGGTACCAAAGTATTTTGTGAGATACAAAAATTTAAAACAGTCTTGGTTACTATAATGCTTATATTTATTTGAGATTAATGACAATTATCAGAAACATAAGACAAGCTTAGATAAATACCCTAATTGAGGAAAAGATCTCCAACAGTTGACAGGATCAGGGAAGTCTGAACAAAGGACGTAGGATATGAGTTGGGTGGTAAAGATCATGTATTATTTTAACAAGAAGCAATGGAGTGAAAAAGCATAAAATGTCCAGTATATTTGGATTATGTGATAGAAAATGGTGTTGAAAGAGTTAGGATGGGGCAGAGCACGGAGTGCTTTCAATGCCTTAGCCAAAAACTGTAAATTTTATTTGATTTCTAATGAAATGATTTACAATTCTGATCAGAGTCTAGGGGATTTGATGTGACAATTGTATATTGATGCATTTAATGAAAACATGCTGATAAAATGCTATAAAATTAATAATGATGGTTTTAAAATTTGAGCAAACGTAGTACTTGTCTGTCACTCTAAGAAATTCACTTATAGTTGACTCTTGAACAACAAGGGTTTGAACTGTGCAGGTCCACGTAGATTTTTTAAAATAAAAATTACGTGGAGTGTGCCTGTCTCTCTCTCTTGCCTCCCTTTCCACCTCCTCCATCTCTTCTGCCTCTGCCCCCACTGAGACAGCAAGACCCACCCTTTCTTTTCCTCCTCCTTCTCCTCAGCCTACTTAATTTGAAGACAACAAGGATGAAGGCCTTCATGATGATTCACTTCCACTTAATGAATAGCATATTAGTTCTGTTCTTATGCCACTAATAAAGACATATCTGAGACTGGGAAATTTATAACGGAAAGAAGCTTAATTGACTCATAGTTCAGCATGGCTGGAAGGTCTCAGGAAACTTACAATCATGGCAGAAGGGGAGGCAAACACATCTTTCTTCATGTGGTGGCAGGAAAGAAGAGTGCCAAGCAAAAGGGAGAAAATTCCCTTATAAAACCATCAGATCTCATTAGAACTCACTCACTATCATGAGAACAGTGTGGGGGTAACCACCCCATGATTCAATTACCTTCCAGCAGATCTCTCCCATGACATGTGGGGATTATGGGAACTAAAATTCAAGATGACATTTGGGTAGGGGCACAGCCAAACCATGTAATTTCACCTCTGGCTCTTCCCCAATCTCATGTCATCACATTTGAAAACACAGTAATTCCTTCCTAACTCAAAGTCTTAACTCATTCCAGCATTAACCCAAAAGTACAAGTCTAAAGTCTCATCTGAGACAAGGTAAGTTTCTTCCACCTATGAGCCTATAAAATTAAAAGCAAATTAGTTACTTCCTAAATACAATGGGGATATAGGCATTAGGTAAATATACCCATTCCAACTGGGAGAAATTGGTCAAAACAAAGGGGCTATAGGCCCTATGCAAGTCCAAAATCCAATAGGGCAGTGGTTAAACCTTAAAGTTCCAAAATGATCTTTGACTGCATGTCTCACTTCTAGGGCACACTGACACAAGAGATGGGCTCTTACGGCCTTGGGCAGCTCTGGCCTTGTGGATTTGCAAGGTACAGCTCCCCTCCTGGCTACTTTGTGGGCTAGCATTGAGTGTCTGCTGCTTTTCCAGCTGCAAGCTGTTGGCAGACCTATCATTCTGGGGTCTGGAGGACAGTGGCCCTCTTCTCACAGTTCCACTCAACAATGCCCCCGTGGAGACTGTGTGTGGGGGCTCCCACCCCACATTTATCTTCCGCACTTCCTAGTAGAGGTTCTCATGAGGCCTCTGACCCTGCAACAAACTTCTGCCTAGACATCCAAGCATTTCTATACATTCTCTGAAATCAAGGCAGAGGTTTCTAAACCTCAGTTTTTGACATCTGTGCACCCTCAGGCTCAACAGCATGTGGAAGCTGCCAAGGCTTGGGGTTTGCACCTCTGAAGCTATGGCCTAAGATGTATCTTGGCCTCTTTTAGCCATGGCTGGAGCAGCTGGGATACAGGGCACCAAGTCCCTAGTCTACACACAGCAGGGGTGGCCCTGGGCTCAGCCTATGAAATATATATTTTTTTCTCTTAGGCCTGTAGGCCTGTAGTGGGAGGGGCTGCTTTGAAGTTCTCTGACATGCCCTGGAGACATTTTTCCCACTGTCTTGCTGATTACATTTGGTCTGTTACTTATGCAAATTTCTGCAGCAGTCTTGAATTTCTACGCAGAAAATGGGCTTTTCTTTTCTACTGTATCATCAGGCTGCAAATTTTCCAAATTTTTATGCTCCGCTTCCTCTTGAATAATTTGTCACTTAGCAATTTCTTCTGCCAGATACCCTAAATCATCTCTCTCAAGTTCAAAGTTCCACAGGTCTATACGGCAGGGGCAAAATGCTGCTAGTTTCTTTGCTAAAGAATAACAAGGCTTGACCCGGTGTGGTGGCTCAGGCCTGTAATTCCTGTACTTTGGGAGGCTGAGGTGGGTGGATTACCTGAGGTCGGGAGCTCAAGACCTGCCTGACCAACATGGAGAAACCTCGTCTATACTAAAAATACAAAATTAGCTGGGTGTGATGATGCATGCCTGTAATCCCAGCTATTTGGGAAGCTGAGGGAGGAGAATCACTTTAACTTGGGCTGTGGAGGTTGTGGTCAGCTGAGATTGCACCATTGCATTTCAGCTTGGGCAACAATAGTGAAATTCCATCTCAAAAAACAAAAACAAAAACAAAAAAAAAACAAGAATCACCTTTGTTCCAGTTTCCACAAAGTTTCTCATCTTCATCTGAGGTCACCTCAGCCTGTACTTTATTGTCCCTATCACTATCAGCATTTTGGTCAAAGTCATTCAACAAATCTCTAGGAAGTTCTAAACTTTCCTTACACCTTCCTGAGCCCTCCAAGTCTCTAGGAAGTTCCAAACTTTCCTACACTTCCCTGTTTTCTTTTGAACCCTCTAAACTATTCCAACCTCTGCTTGTTACCAAGTTCCAAAGTTGCTTCCACGTTTTTGGTTATCTTTACAGCAGCACCCCATTCTCTGATGTACCAATATACTCCTCATGCTGGTAATAAGTTTATACCTGAGACTGGATAATTTATAAAAGAAAGAGGTTTAATTGACTCACAGTTCAGCATGTCTGGGGTGGTCTCAGGAAACTTATAACATGGCAAAGGGGAAGCAAACATGCCTTTCTTCACATGGCGGCAGGGAGAAGTACCAATCAAATAAGTGGGGAAAGCCCGTTATAAAACTATCAGCTCTTGTGAAAACTCGCGATCACAGGAACAGCAGCATGGGGGTAACAGTTCCCGTGATTCAATTACCTCCCACCATGTCCCTCCCACAACACGTGGGGATTGTGGGAACTGTAATTCAAGATGAGATTTGGGTGGGGACAGAGCCAAACCATATCAAATAGTAAATGTATTTTCTCTTTCTTATGATTGTCTTAACAACATTTTCTTTTCTTTAGCTTGCTTTATAACATACAAAATGTTTGGTAATCAATTGTTTATATTATTGATAAGGTGTTTAATCAACAGTAGACTTTTTTGTTGAGTTTTGGGGAAGTCAAAGTTATATGCTGTTGAAAATCTGTGTGGGGTTTGACACCCCTAACTCCCATGCTGTTCAATGGTAATCTGTACATTGATTTTGTCATTTATAATAAAACATGATAAAATTATATAGCTGGAATGATAATTTTATCAATGAGTTAATAATTTTAATGATACCATATTGATAATGATAATATCTATTAAATTTAGTCAAATGTCAGAGGCGTCTTATTTAATATTTTATTTGAATGTTCTTTTTTATAGTGTCATCATCAAATAAATTATAAGTTTAAAGTGTAATCCTGGATTCATACTGAGTTTTAATTTTGTGTCTCTCTAGTATATATTCTGTTTCTTTTCTGCATAATTGATGTTTACAAGTTGATGTTGCTATTTGTCTTCAGATAGTTTTGTGATTATTTCTTTTTGGTTACAGTAATCATCTAAAGAAATTTTTATGTCATTTAAAATTTTCAGTGGTCTTTCTTTAAAAATATACTATACTTTTATTTTACAAACATACATTTAAAGTGATATTTTTAAATGTTAGCTTAATATTTACTGTTAATAATACTAAAAATATACATATCTAGGCAGCCGAATATATTGGAAAGAGCTCTGAAATGGAAAGCAAGACTTGTGGCTTTGCCATTAAACTACTTTTTGCTTTGAGGTCAAGCTGGAAGCCTCTTCTTACTTGTTTGTAAAATAGGGAAATAATTCTATCCACATAGGTTATTGGAGGATTAAATTGGATAGTGGGATTAATGTAAATGTTAAAAAATCATAACTATTGTTGTTATGTAATGTCATCATTTAGAATCTATGTTGTTATAATCTGAAAGTGTTTCCTGCTATTCACATTCTGAAATTTGTTCCATTATAGTTCTGCCTAATTCTGTTTGCACTTTTCCAGTATAGATACTGCTATGATGCGCTAATCTAAGTTTAAAGGAAAGTGCTGGATCTAAATTTTCTTCCACTTCCTTGCCTGCTGCTGTCAGCACCATAGTGTTGAGGTTTTATATTAACACTGTGAAGGCAATTTATGAGAATAATTAGTTTTGTGTTGCTTATATTAGAGCTGGTTATCTTAATTCTTTCTTGGTGGGAAGTGTGTTCCCTGCCATCATTTGGCTCCTGGTCCACAGCTTTAAATTATGTGAAGGAGAAAATCTTTATAAATGGCTCCTTCCTGTGGTGTCCCTTACATTTCCTCTCCTAATAGAAAGTCCCTTAGTTTTTTCTCATCAGTTTCTCCTTGTGTTGCAGTCTAAAGTGATGTCCCATCTGCTGGTCATGCTGGAAAGCAATTCTTTTAAGCATCATTAGCTTATGGTTAAAAATTAGATTTGTTTTTTCTGAGAGTAAATTTTAATTGGTTATGTTTTTTATGGAAACAAGTTGATTAGATGTGTAGAGAAACTGCTATAATTTTTTCATGTTTAAGGGAAAGCCAATAAAATATATTTGAGGAGGAAGTGTACATAAGAATCATTTAAGATAAATTTGGTGGGGGAAAATCTGCAAGTGTGAAAACCAGGATTTAAATGTTTATTTTTTTATTGCATTTTAGGTTTGGGGGTACATGTGAAGAACATGCAAGGTTGTTGCATAGGTACACACATGGCAGCGTGATTAAATGTTTCTTTTTCTTGATGGTGGTTACCTGATATGGTATATCATGTTTTTGACATGTTTGGGCATATAAGACAAATTTTATAGAATTTTTGATCTATATCCTTATGATAGCTTTTCAGTTTATCATTCTTTGCCTATGATGTGCCTACTGAGCATGAAAGTCACTTTCAGCTATGCAGTAATAAAAAAAATGCCACAAATACATTGGCCCAGGGGAGAGGCTTTCTGTAAAAAAAACTTGAATAACTACAGTTGCTGTAAACAATTTTTTATGGATACTTGATGCTCCCTCCCTGTAGTTTTGTTTGAATTAGTCATCATATTTGTATGTCAGAATTTACTACTGCCAGGAATTACTAATGTCCTGGAAGTCAGAATTGTCATTCGAATACAGGTATTATAATGCAATATCTGGCTGGGTCATACTGGATCAGAATGACCTTAGCCAAGTATTATGCAGGAATGTTTTAAGATTTTGGAAAATTACTCTTTCTTTGTAAAAAGGTAACTCTGTGGCAGGTACTGTGTAGTGCTAAGATTCTTAAGAGGTATTTCAAAGCAAGCATGCCTCTTACAGCTGTCTGGGCTTTCATTTTATGAAAGATTTTCTGCATTTTACAATACTGATGTCAGCTGCTGTTTTACAGCACTGCCCCACTTCCCATGCTGATTTAACTCATGGGCTTCTTATTACAGATCAGAACTTTAGATGATTTAAAGAAGGGTAGGAAGGTAGGATGGTGGTTTTGGAATGAGGGCTGAACAAATATTTAACTTTTGTGAGAACTGTATATGCCTTTGATCCGACTTGACTTAACCAAAAAGGAACTTGTGATTTGCTTTGTTATTAACATTATGCGGAACTCATGTAATGTACATGTCCAGGTTTCTTAAGGTAATTAATATCTGTCTTGTAATCATTAAGTGAAAGACACTATTTCCTACCTTTATCATTCTCAGCATTTCAGTCATAAGTAAATGAAACCCCTCATTTTTCATTTCATGGTACAATTCTCAAAATATATACCAAGGCAATTGGGATTAAAGTATAAGATTTTTTTCTATCATTTTCCTTTAAGATGATCTTCCTCAGTACTCTGTTTCCCTTTTGTTCACTTCCCCCTGGGATCTTTTGTCACAGTCTTTTTTTCTTCTGTTGTTTAATGAAGGCTTTTGACTCAGTTCAAACAAGTGTTGAAGTAAGATCTTAAGTAAAGAACATGAGAAAGGCCCATTTTACCGTCTGAAGAGAGGGTAGGAAGGGTGGTATGCGGTATGTTAGAGAGGCAAAAAGAGATGGACTTTGGAGGGAGTGAGGAGCCTGAGACCTGTGAGTCATGTAAGGGCTGTATAAGGAAAGATGTCTGCTCAGGAGAATTCTAAGTAGTTGAAAACAGGACTGAACGTAAATAAATGAGATGAAATTCAGTGCATAATTATAAAAAGTAAGAACTCCTTATGCTTTCGTCAGACTGTCCAAATAAGTTATTGCCAATTTTTAGAAGCATATTCCCTATGGTGCATGGCAATGTAAAGAATTCAGAATCTCGGCTAACCCTATACACAATTTATAAGTAAATTTTATTTGGAAGTTAGAATATTGCTATATACTTATAGTTTCTGAGTGCCTTTTTATGCATTTCATCTTTAGATGCCCAAAACAATGTAGAGACATAAGCAGATTAGGTGATGGTATTTCCATTTTGTATATTATTTAAGCAGTCCCCTTATTGCACTGCGTGCACCCAGGAGGTCACATTGATATAAAGCTCCCATGCACATCATCTTTAAATGCCCAAAACAATGTAGAGACATAAGCAGATAAGGTGATGGCATTTCCAGTTTGTATATTATTTAAATGTCCCCTTACTGCACTGCATGCACCCAGGAGGTCACATTGATATTAAAGCTCCTATGCACAGGCTAGTAGCTTCCACTTGCATGACTGTGAAACTTCTGCTGTTCTCCAACACTCCTCAGGTGTTTTTGAGACCCTTTGGGGTATATCCCCACCAGGCATTGTGGGACCACACTGGCTGCCAAGCCCTCTGTTGGAATGTAGTTCTTGGACACAATCCATCTTGCTCTGGTGGCGCTGTTACTTCTAGCTCAGAATGCTCAAGTTTCACGTGCAGCCTTGGTTTAGGAGAATGAGATGGGGAAGAGAAAAAAAAAAGGGTGAAGAGTTGGATAATTCTCCTATATATGCTTCCTTCTGCCTTTAAACTAGTGTTTTTTAACTGTACACATATAGATATTTTTACAATCAAAGGTAAGAATGCTGCAAACTTTATTCTATTAGAGTTTGTGAAGAAGGCTGGAAATCATTACTTTGACGAATGTATGATCACTGAAAGATTTTGGGTATCAACAGAGATTAGGGGCCCCTCAAAAATTATATTTGGTAGAAGTGTTCTTTTTGGTTCAAGTTTCCTTATTATGTTTTTTCTAGGTTCTGAAAGAAAACTTTTGAGGTTTGAAAAAATTAAAAAGTCCCATTCTTGCATAAGCGAATTCTGCACAGAAGAAGTCCCTTTTCATCCATCGTGATACAGTGTGCAGATGGCTGGAACCATAGGAGGCCCTGGGATGCCATTATTCTATACAGAGGTCATTAGAATATAAGCTGCATAAAGCAAACCATCTCATGGCCCTGTTTTGGCTAGCATTCGCATTGAAAGAAGCCACAGAGTAGCATCTAAAATAATTGAAAAGAAATTAAAATCTTTACCACGTTTTCTTATCAAATCGGCAAAGGGGAATAATTGCATAATAGTAAAGCTTTGTTAAATATTTTTTCCTCATTCTCTCATTTTTATAATCTCCTATATGCAGCAGCTGCCTAATTTCTCCCTCCCATTCCATGCTCAATTTCTAAGCTCCCAGAAAGTTTTTTCTCTAGCCTGGGTTATACGGGCCTCCTATATTTCCCCCCTTTCTTCACTGGCTCAGAGTTTTATTAAATAGTTCCGCCTAGCCGTAGGGACCTGTTTCAGTTTTCTGCTCTTCAGGTACTTTGAGCCTGCACAATGGAGGAAGACCTGGGAATTCATCAAACAAACAAGAATCTGTTATTTTAGTGGGTGGGGTGTGTGTAAGCAGTGGGAATCTAGAAGAATGCAAACATATAACTCAGTATCTTTCCTTTTATTCCTGGAACAATAAAAACTATGTCTTTGAAGATAATGCATATATTTAGCGGATGAAGCATGAAAATAGTTGTTTATTAGGTCGCATATATTTTTAAAGGAGGTTTTGGAGAAATTAAAACATCTCAATTCCAAAGGTATCATATATCCCTTAAGCAATGAGAAAAATCCCTTTGGAACTGTAAATGCTATAAGTGATGAGTTTTCTTATTTCAGGTAGGTTGTTAGAAAGAAAAGAGCAAATATTTGGCCTCCACAGTGATGTATGGTGAGCTTACTTTGTCTTTACTTTTATTATTTTTTTAAACCAACTTTAAATTTATGCTAATTTGTATTTTATAAATCCTTATAAAACACTTTATATTCTTTCTGGAACAAGGTGATATATACATATATAAATAATGATGAGCAAAACAGCAATGTTTCTCATGTGAGTGTAGATTTATCTTAATTCTGTACGATCTGATGGTATAAATGGTAAAGAATCTGTTAGTGGTCCTTAGTGTAAGAGCATTCATCCTAGCTCAGAAAATAAATCAAGAAAGCTAGTTTGATATTAGGTGGAACATAGTTTCTTCAGTAATCTCAAGGAAAAATTTAAAAAGCAACTATAGATTATTTTTATCTCTGTATTACCTACATCACAGATTCTTATAAACATCACTGTTCAATGTTAGAAGTGGGTTATTTTCACCTTATTCATCATATACAATGTTTTGCTGCCATATAGTGGAAACTCAATATATATCTACTGACTCATTCTATATTTAAAATTTTTGTTAACTAATTGTTGAACTCCAAGATACGCCTAGCATAGCTTTAGTTAGGTTAGTGAGGTAAAGTGGAGTGTAAACACCTTAAAAATCAAGGACCACATTCTAGTTGTGATTTTGAGTCTATACTACATTTTAAGTTGGTCTTTGGTACCACGTAAATGATAAGTTAGTACTTGCTGTGAGACTACATTATGTAGTGGTCAGAATCTTAATACACAATTAGGCAAATGAGTTCAAGTCCCAACTCTAATACTTACTGGTATATTCTAATCTTTCTGAGCTTTAGTTTCTTCAGCTGTAAAATGGGTATGGCAATACTTTCTTCCCAAGACTATTGTGAAAATTAAGTAGCATAATGCATGTAATGCCTTGTTCACATTGCTTGCCGTGGGGTAGGTCCTCAATATACTAGCCTTTTCATCTTCCTATTGAATAAATGAACAAACCGATGAATGAGAACATTATGCTTTCTGTTTAGAAACTTATTTTAAACAAATCAACTATTACATTAAAAATGAACTGTCCTAATTTTTAATGAGAGAATTTAATTGAGATCATATGATATGTATATGTAACATTAAAACTAAGTAATGAATATGATTTCAAGACTTACATTAAGTCATGCCTTTGACAAACACTGCACCAACTCCTTATGGAGTGATATAATTTGGAGGTTTTGTCCCTTCAAAATCTCATGTTGAAATGTGACCTCCAGTGTTGGAAGTGGGCCTAGTGGTAGGTGTTTGGGTCATGCGGACTGATCACTCATGAATGGCTTGATACTGTCTTTGTGGTAATAAATGAGTTCTTACTGTATAAGTCCACTTGAAATCTGACTGTTTAAGAGAGCCTGGCCCCCCTCCTCTATCTTGTTCCCGCTTTCATTATGTGATATGCTGGCTCCCCCTTCCCTTCTGCCATGGCTAAAAGCTTCCTGCGCCTCAACAGAAGCCCTGCAGAATGAGCCAAATAAACCATGAGTCTAATAAATCTCTTTTCTTTATAAATTACCCAGCCTTAGGTTATTTCCTTTATAACAATGCAAATGGACTAACACAGGGAGACATGTATACAGGAATGTATAAATGTATATAAAGTAAAAAACAAATGGATCCACTTTTAGCAGATGATGAGAACCATGTTGTCAAGAAAATCATAA